GGACCGTGAGGGAGGTACTGGATCTGATCGCTGTATGGGGAGAGGATTCAGTGCTTGCAGAACTTTGTTCAAAAAGACGAAATGCCAAAACTTTTGAAAAAATCTCCAAGGGCATGATGGAGAGAGGCCACAATAGGGACTCAGATCAGTGCCGCGTGAAAGTTAAGGAGCTCAGACAAGCCTATCAAAAAAACAAAGGAGGCAAACGGTCGCTCCGGGTCAGAGCCGCGGACATGCTGCTTCTACGCCGAGCTGCATGCAATTCTAGGGGGGGCCGCCCACCACTACCCCACCTCTGACCGTGGATTCCGAGGCGGGATAATCTTCAGCTACACCTGAGGATTCTGCGGACGGGGAAGAGGAGGAGGAGGAGGACGAGCTTGCAGAGAGCACCCAGCACTCTGTTCTACCCAACAACCAGGATCTTTTTCTCAGCCTGACTGAAGTACCCTCCCAACCCTCCCAACCCAGTATCCAAGACCACGACCCCATGGAAGGGACCTCAGGTGAGTTTACCTTTTAAAATATAAAACTTGTTTTAAAAGCAAGGGTTTTTAATGATTACTTTGCCCTGAGGACTTGGGATGCATTCGCAGCCAGTACAGCTACTGGAAAAGTCTGTTAATGTGTCTGGGGATGGAGCGGAAATCCTCCAGGGACATCTCAATGAAGCTCTCCTGGAGGTACTCCGAAAGCCTTGCCAGAAGGTTTCTGGGCAGTGCAGCCTTATTCCGTCCTCCATGGTAGGACACTTGACCACGCCATGCTTGCAGCAAGTAATCTGGTATCATTGCATGACAAAGCCTGGCAGCGTATGGTCCCGGTGTTTGCTGGCATTCAAGCAACATCCGTTCTTTATCTTGCTGTGTAATCCTCAGGAGAGTGATATCGCTCATGGTAACCTGGTTGAAATACGGGAATTTAATTAAGGGGACAGAGGTGGCCGTTCCTACTGGGCTGTTTGCCTGTGGCGGAAAAGAAATCCTTCCCTGCAGTTAGCCAAGCGCAGGGCGGGGAATTGGCTCAGAACTTTTCGCGTTTGGCTAGCAGGGATCTTCCCTGATACCAGCCACGCGGTGGGGGGAGGGATAAAGCGATCATCCAGAGAATTGGATGGGGGGGGTTAGTTTGTTTTCTGCTGCTGAAGGTTAACAGGAAAAACGCAGCACTCAACGGGCTTTGCTTGGTATGTGGGAAAGGAGGGCGCAGAAGCCGAAAGACAGTGGCTTACCATGGCCGCATGCAAGCCGAATTCTGTTGCCTGGACCTGCGTCTGTGATCTCTAGCAGCAAAGCCACAGGCACTCAATATTAAGAGGCAAAATGCGATCTTGCACAGAAATCACATGTGCTATGTAATGTGAATAGTGTTGGTCACTGTGAAAGAGTTTAAGCATTGTTCTGTAAAATGTATCTTTTTAAAAAATTCTCTCCTTTTTTCCCTCCCTCCAGCAGCTGCAAATTCTTCAAGCCTCCCTCCTCCGTCCCGAAGGCTATCACAGATAAGGCGTCGGAAAAAGAAGACACGAGACGATATGTTCGCAGAAATCATGGAATCCACCCACAGTGACAGAGCTCATCTGAATGAGTGGAAGGACACGGTTTCAAAGTATAGGAAAGAAGCCAGTGAATGTGAGGATAGGAGGGACCAATGTGAGGACAGGAGGGACCAACGTGAGGAGAGGAGAGACCCGCGAGATGAGAGG